GTAAGAACAGCCATGTGCCAATAGAATTTAGGCACATGCATACCACTCAGAAGACATCGAACCATAGACATAAGATGACGGTTTTTGCATTCAGCCATGCCATTTTGCTCAGGAGTATAGGGGTAAGTGAGTTGATGTAAAATCCCCTTTTTATTAAGTTCAGACCGGAACTCATTCGAAACGTATTCTCGTCTATTATCAAAACGAATATTACGGACAACAGTGTTATACTGGGTTTTGACCATTTGAAGAAACTAGGTAAATAAAATAAACACATCAGATTTCTTTTTCAATAAATAGACCCAAGTACAACGAGAATAATCATCAATAAATGTCACATAATATCGATGTCCAGAGAAAGCAGTAACTGGGGAAGGGCCCCAGACATCAGAATGAATAAGATCAAACATACTAGGAGCACGACTCATATGAGAAATATAGCTAGTTCTAGTATGTTTAGAAAGCTCACAAACTTCACATTGAAACTTATGGTCCTTACATGCTTTATTTAACGAAGGAAACAATAGACATAGATATTGAAAGTTTACATGCCCCAAACGTGCATGCCACAGACTAAAAGTGCAAAAAGAAACATCATAAACACTAGAAGTAGGTAAGACAGAAGCTTGAAGACTCGTTCCTGGTGGTTCCCCAAAGTAGTAAAGCCCATCACGCTCATAACCCCTGCCAAAAATCCTCTTCGAACAAAGGTCCTGCAGCAAACAGTGATCTGGTAAGAATATAACTGCACATTGGAGGTTTTTTGCAAGCCGGCGAACAAATAAAAGGTTAAAGGCAAATTTAGGTACATGAAGGACAGATGAAAGAGTAATATCAGGAGACAGACAAACATCACCCTTACTGTGAATGTAAGATGTAGAGCCATCCGCAAGATACACAGATTGGGTAACAGGTATGACATTAGAAGAAAAAACTGATAACTCACCAGTCATGTGATCATTGGCCCCAGAATCCAGAACCCAAGTGGGCTGCATGGCCTTAACATGAAATGCAGTAGGAGTACCTGTAGCAATAGTTGCAATGGGAGCAGTTGAAGGAGCACAAACTCTAGAAGCAAGGGAGCCAAGCTGGTCTTGGATATGCCCAATCTGAGACTGAAGCTGGCTCAGTCCAGGAAATACAGTAGATCCACCAGTAGTAACAGGAGTTTCTGCAACAGCCGCAGTACGAGAAGAACCAGTTCCAGATAAACGGTTCCTAGAAAATTTTTGCTTCAGTTCAGGATGAAGTTTGAAGCAACGAGCCTTAACATATCCAACCCCTCCACAATGGTGACAAATAATCTGACCTCCAGAAGCTCGTGATCTAAAGTTGGCTGCAGAAGCCATACTATCCCCGGCAAGCTCAGACACTGGTACAGGAACAATTGAGGGCTGAATTAAACGGTGCCTGTGTGCTTCACCATCAACAGTAGCAAAGGCTTCCAACAAGGATGGCATTGGTGATGCATTCAAGATCTGAGACTTTAGTGGTTCAAATTCTAGGCGTAATCCCATCAAAAATTGATAGGTATGCTGACGATCAAGACATTTGACAAGAAGAGAGGCTGCCTCAGAAGGAAATTCACTGAGAGGCTCATATTGAGCTAGTTCCTCCCAACGAGATCTCAAATACCCAAAATAATCAGTTACAGACAAATTCAGGCCTTCCTGCGAGGCCTTAGCAATATCTTGATATAATTCAAAAATACGAGCATCATTCCTAGAATGAGCATACATTTGATTCAAAGCAGTCCACAAGTCATTAACAGAGTCATAAAACATGAATATATTATAAATGCGTTCCTCCATAGAATTAAACATCCATCCTAAAATGGTGCAATTGTCCATATCCCACTAAGCATATTTAGGATCTTTAATATCTGGCCTATTTTCAGTACCCAAAATCCACCCTGATTTGCCTTTTCCACCAACATAGAGGCGGAGGGAACGAGCCCAGGATGCAAAATTACGGCCATTCAACAGCACACTAGTAACTCGTTGAGCCGGTGTGTGTTGCGCCGAAAAGAGAGTTTCTTTATTATTACTTGATTCAGCCATAATATTAAATAGATCAATTCAACAGATTACCAATAATTTCAAATAAAGGAGGAATAGACCTGATTTTGATCAAACCAAGAAGCCGGAGACACGGCGGTCTGATCCGAAAATGCTGCTAAATATCCCGGCAGCCCCAAAAAATTACAAACACGTCTTCTAACCCTTAGTGCATGAAAAAGACTAAGGGAATACCCCTACAGGGGTCGAACCTAGAGGAGATTGACTCCCCCTAGGACTGTCGCAACAGCGACCTAAAAAAGAGAGAAGGTCTGTGAGGAAAAAAAAAAATAGGGAAGGGGCTATAACGAGATAGAGAGAGATATTAAAAGAGGCGGTGAAAGAGGGAGAGATGGGGGAGGCGTAGGTTTGAGGCTCTGATACCAAAAAGTAACTTGGTAAAATTGGCGTACTCAATTTGAGAGCCTGACTATCATTATATACAAGCGGAAAATTACAAATATGGAAAAGAAAATAAAATCAAATCAAAATAAAGAGAATAAAATAAATCAAATCAAATCAGAATAAAAATAAAATTCCTAAAAATTAGCCTATATTGAAGACCCAATAAATCTGCCATAATCGTTGAGTCAACTTATAGATAAGATTTCCAACAATTACTAATTTTACTGAAGTTCGCGTAAAGCCAAAGTTTTTAACCTACTCAACGAAAAAGAAGTTGACACCTGACCCAACTTACATTTTTTTTTTATGCAAGTACAAATGCATTAGAAAGCGTTCAAGAGGGGAACGCAACCTGCAAACAACAAAAAGTCAGAAGCCAAAAAGGAGTCCTACGAACCCAAGGAACCCAAAAAGACAACCATCTCCTCTATCGATTTACAATATATCCCCGTCACCCAACAAAAAAGAAAGCTAATGATGCTAAATTTCAAAGTCCCAATGGGAGATTCCTCCCCCTCAAAGGATCTTCTGTTTTGCTCCTTTCAAACGCACCACCAAACACAAAAGGGTGCCACCTTCCAAAAAACACAGGCATTGGATCCCACTAAACATCCTCTCCAGACGTTAATAAAACCTCTAGAAGACTGAGGCATCACCCAGCTCCAACAGTCGTGAGCCATGGGGCAATACAAGAGGAGGTGATCCACTGACTCTCCAACCTTCTTGCACACATACGAAACCTCCAACGAAGTTTTGTAGACCAAAAATTCAGGATTACGTGAAGACTTTGTATCATAGAAAAGTGAGCTTCTCTCTAGAACTTGAGCTGAGATTTGAAGTGTCCAAGGAGAATTTCATAAAAGAAGACGTAGATTTGTTAATGTATTTTAGAATTCAGTTGGAATTCCTACAACTGCAAGGTTGGAAGCTGATATTCTACTAAAAGGAGAGCTACAACCTCAGAAGATTTTTGTGGAAATCCAGTGCCTCCAAAATTACATTGATTCAAAATCACAGCTTAGCATGATACTCTATTTATTGGTAGCAAGAATCAAATTTCAATTTTGGTTCCAGCGAAGAGCTAAAACATTTCTGTTCTTTTAGTGAATAACAACGAAACATGGATGAAAGACCAAAATTCACCGGTTTCAATCAAAAGGTTGTTTCTGTTGAAAAATACTGGAAAATGGTGGAAAATTAACCAATAAGGGCAAATCTTGCCAAACTAATCAAAATATTTCATCTATATCAACAGCGATCTCGAAAACGGGTAAAAGTATCTAACAATTTTAGCAAAAAAGATTTTGATTTCTTTGAGAATAGCAAATAAGGAGATGACATAGAAGAAAACGATGAAAAAGAGGATATAGGAAGAGCTTACTGTATTGCTTAGTTGAAAAAAGGGTCTAGGGAGGTTCAGAAGTACGCAGCCTTACCTCCACATGTAAAGAGGTTGTTTCCAAATTCGAACGAATCCGTGACCTTCAGGTCACAATGGAACAACCTTACCGTTGCACCAATATCTACTTCATCTATATTTTATAGTTCATGCCACAATATTTGGTATCATTTATACTTGTTCGTTTACTGGTAAGTGTTGCTTGAAATCATTTTGGCACTTATCCACGTTTCCTTTTCCTAATCAATTCTACCCAATTGCTCTATTATGCGGATTAAGATGTGGTAGACTTGAAATATATTCAATTAATCAATTGTTTGGTTAATATTTACTCAAGGATAGATATTATTTTTTGTATCCAAGAATTTCTACGTATTTTCATTTTTTTTTTCACTATTCCCACTCTGTTTACAAAACAGAGTTGTTAGTTCCCTTGAAAGAAAATATTTCCCATCATTGTGATCTCCTTTTAGTTTAATAAAAAAAAATTCTTATAAAAATAATATATATATAAAACAACTAAGACCCCTTTCCAGAAAAGCTTTCTATAAATATAGAAGGGTATAATGTCAAATCACATAATACCCTCTCCCCTCCACCCACCCCACCGCCCCCCACTCTCTCTCTCTCACCCTTTTTCAAAAAAAGCTTCCTATAAATATAGGTCATAAGAGAAATAGGAGATCCTTTGAGGGGGAAGAGTCTCCTATTTGGTCTCTCAAATACAATATTTTGTCATCTTTATTCGTTTGGATTAGTGGGCGAAATTGTATATCCTTGGATAGTCTCTTGGATTTTGTTGATAGTTTAAAGATGTAATGTCGCTGGTAGCAGCTTTTTGTTCTCTTGGGAGCGCTTCCCTTTAGAATGCCTTTAATGAATTTTACTTATCAAAAAAATAAATAAATATAGGTCATAATGTTTACTCAAAGGAAAATATATATATATATATATATATATAGGTCAAGTCAAGTTTTCATGCCTCCTACCATACATCAAATTTTCACACTAAAATACCAAACATACATAGATGCGGCTGCATAAGGAACAACAGTACTCCAGCATATATCATACTGCTATAGCACAATGACAGGTTCCTCTAAAAAAGAATCATGATATCACAAGCAAGGATTTCACACCTCTGAAAAAGTGCCTGTTAATTTATTTAGAAGCGTTGATTTCCCAACTGAAGGGAAACCCACTAGACCAACTCTTGCATCTCCACTTTTTGTAACATCAAAACCTTCTCCAGCACCACCACCTCCCTTTGTCGGGGGCGCAATTAGATCTCTCCGTAGCTTTGCAAGTTTAGCCTAGCATCAAATTAGCAATCACATGCATGTTAGTTTGCCTGAATAAATCAATAGTACAAATTAGATACAATGCATGCAAGCAACAAGCTTACAAAACAATAAGAAACAGATGCACTGAAGTAATACCACTAATGCATTAAGAACATCAAAAAATACTCAGAGAAAATTTAAATCTAATTTTCTAAAAACAGTGATTCTAAGCACATTACATTAAGAAATAAAGCTCAGAAAATTAGTTCCCCTCTTAATTATGTCAGAAACTTCAAATGAAGAATATTCACTTCATGATTTACCCACACAACAATTGGTAATGAAACAAGTGCCATAACAAATGAGGTAGCCCACAATTTACAAAGGTGGAAAACCCTCATCTATGTTCAATTTGTAAACGTCAAAGTAGTAAACTCTTCAACAGCAATTCTAAAAAGAAAAAATGGAATACAAATTAAAGAAATAACATATACTAATAGTGCCACAGCGGCACTGCCTGGTTCAGCAGTAAGACAATTAAGTATTGGTGCCACTGGCACAGTTCATTTGGTTGTGAAAAAATCAAAGTCTATGGCTTGATTGGTTCAGTTTTCTGAGAAGAGTTTGTTGCTATCAGAGAAATGAAAATACAAAAAATTGTTTGGTTGACAGTTTTGCGAAAACTGTTTTTTGAAATTCAGTTTAAAAAAGGCTTCTTCTTTTTTTTTGTAATAAGTAAGAAATGTATAAAAAGCGCTCAAAAGGGGAGCGCATCCCAAGAGAACTACACAAGGACAAAAAGAGCCTCTAAGCCTTCAAAGAGGCCAAAAAATCGACAATATCCTCTAAAGATCTATAATCTCTTCCTGAAACCCAACAAAAAAAAGTGGAAACATTAGGGAATTTAAGAATAGAAATAGGCATCTACTTTCCATCAAAATATCTCCTATTCCTCTCTAGCCAAATACACCACCACACACAAAGAGGCGTAGCCCTCCAACCATCCTGAATATGAGCCCCCACAGAACAACCTCTTCAAGCCTCAATCAACCCTCTAGAGGATCTAGGCATGACCCAAAGAATCCCAAACAGACCAAGCATCAAGTCCCAACAATCCTTGGCCACGGTGCAATGTAAAAGAAGATGATCCACAGTCTCCTCATCCCGACGACACATGAAACACCGATTGACCACCACCGGATTTCTCCTTCTCAAATTATTCTTGGTTAAAATCTTTCCCAAAACAGTCCAAGAAAAGAAGGCCACCTTGAGGGGAACTTTTGAACGCCAAACAAACTTCCATGGGAAAGGACCTCCAGGCTCTTCTGTAAGACACCTGAAGAAGGACCGAACATCAAAACGACCCTGAGCATTGGAAGCCCAAATCCAACTATCAGAATCTCCAACCATAACTCCCTGACGATACAACACCTCCAAAAGACGAGTGGCATCCTCAATCTTCCAGTCCTGAAAAAGACGCCTGAATCGAACATCCCAAACCAGTCTCCCGCTATTAAGATCATAACAGTTAACCACCATGGCCTGCCTATCCGTAGCAATCCTGAAGAGCCATGGAGAGCAAGAGAAAGGTCCCCACACCAGACATCCTCCCAAAAACTAATCCTCCTACCATCCCTAAAGTCTAAAACGAACATGATTGGAGAAGTCAGCCAAACCCTTCCGAATAAACTTCCAAACCCCCACACCCATTGGACCATGCACTTCTAGAGAACACCACCCTCCTCTGCTCTCCCCATACCTGCTCGCAATGACCCTCCTCCAAAGCCAATGGCTCTCCACCCCAAACCTCCACAGCCATTTCCCAAGGAGAGCTTTATTGAAAGGCACCAATCTTCTAATCCCCAACCCTCCATTCCGAATCAGCCTGCACACTTGCTCCCAACAAACTAGGTGAAACTTAAACTCCTCCCCTCTTCGCCCCCACAGAAAATTACGCTGCAAACGCTCAATTCTCTCAGCCACAGAGGAGGGAATTTGGAAAAGAGAGATAAAATAAGTTAGTAGGAAGGTATGAAAGGATACTCTTAATCAGAGTAACCCCCCCGGAAAGGTACTGCTTCTTCCAACCTGCCAGCCTCCTCTAAAACCTATTCACAACTGGATTCCAAACCCCCACACACCTCGAAGGAGTTCCCAGGAGCAACCCTAAATAAGAGATGGGAAAGGAGCCAATACGACAGCCAAGAATACTGGCAAACATCGTGATCTCAGGGACCTCCCCAACCGGCACCAAAACGCTCTTTCCAACATTCACCTTAAGGACGGAAGCAACTTGGAACCAGATCAAAACGCATCTCAGATATCTAACCTGGGACACATCCGAATCACAAAGCACTAAAGTATCATCCGCAAACATCAAGTGGGAGATCTCCAACAGACTAACGGCATCCCTGCCCACCCGGAAACCTCTCAGAAAACCCAACTCAACAGTGCTCCTCATCAATCTACTGAGGGCCTCCATCACAAAGAGGAACAAGAAAGGGGAAAGCGGATCCCCCTGTCTCAAGCCCCTCGAGCTAGTGAAAAAACCCATCGGAGCTCCATTCACAAGAATAGAAAAGCGAACACTGGAAATACAAAAATGAATCTATTTCCTCCAACGCACTCCAAACCCCATCCTCTCCATCAAGCAGAGAAGGAAGCTCTAACTCACACGGTCATACGCCTTCTCAATGTTACATAGAATGCCCGGAACCCCACTTCGCAATCTGGAGTCCACACACTCGCTAGCAATAAGAACTAAATCCAGAATCTGAAGGCCTCCAACAAAGGCATTCTGAGAGTCAGAAATAACGCCATCCAACACTTTCCTCAACCTATAAGCAAGGACTTTGGCAATCAACTTGTAAATGCACCCCCACCAAATTAATAGGGCGAAAATCCAGAACATCCCAGCTCTTCTCAAAAGAGGCCTAAGCGTGGAAAGCATGAAAAGTGCCCATCACCTCCCCTTTAACCACCTCCCAGCACTCCAAAAGGAATCTCATGGTAAACCCATCTGGACCTAGGCCTTTATCCTCGTTACAACTCTTCAAAGCGACCAAAACTTCCTCTTCAGAAAAAGGCTCCTCCAGACCAGAGCACTCCTCACTAGAAATAGAGTCAAACTGAAGCCCCTCAAGCAAGGGTCTCCACCCAGCAGACTCTGTGAACAACTTCGCATGGAACTCAGGAGTACCTTTGCATACCTCTTCCTCCTTGCACAATAACTCCCCTTCCACCCGAATCCTCCCAATATGATTGCCCCTTCTATGGGCATTGGCCAATCTATGGAAAAACTTCGTGTTCCTGTCACCCTCCTTAAGCCACAAAGCTCGAGACTTTTGCCTCCACGAGATCTCCTCCACGATAGCACTCAGCAAACTCAGCCTGACACTCCACCCTCCTAACCTTCAAGGAGTCCACCAGGAACCCTGACCCTTCATCTGGTCAATATCAGCAATCTCAAAAAAAAAAAAACCCAATTCTTCCTCCAAGCAAGATTCTCAAAGACCTCTTTGTTCCAAATGTTGATACTTTCCTTAAGGAGGCGCAAGTTACCTGCGAGCTTATGACTTGGGGTACTAACCACCCCAAACCCTTCCCACCAGAATCGGACCCTATCCAGAAAGTCCTCAGCACGAAGCCACATATTCTCAAATCTGAAAGGAGATCGCCTTCTAATCAGCCCACCACAATCTAACATCAACGGAACATGGTCTGAGATAAGGCGAGCCAAAGTATTTTATATTTCTCCTAAAATGGTTTGTTATTTTCTGATTTCTTGGAATTGTTTTCAGAAAACTGAACCAAATATGCCCTAGGTTTGTCTCAAGTCCTCCCTCCCCAGGACCACGCCGTGGCATGACCTGCACTGGATAATGCCCTTTAGCACACTGGGAATTGAAATTCTAGGACTACAAATGAGTTGAACATGTGAATATCCAAGTGCTTAGGCTCCACTTAGCTGATACAGTTACCAAGCTCGAGCTCCGCTTGAACTTGTCCTAAGCTCAAACTTAATAGGATCCAGAGAAGTACGGGATTGGCTCAGCCTAGCTCGCCAAAATGAACCAAATTCTGAATCTGCTTTTCAGACTCAAATTAACAAGGAAGAAGAGATTGAAACATATATTTGAATTTGGGGCCAACAATTAGATCCAAATATCACAAAAATAGATGCAAATGACAGATAAGTTATGCAGGACAATCCTATTTGGACGTTGAAATTCTCCACTATTAACACCCTTTTTTGTTGGGTTCTAGGGAGAAATTGTTAATCCATAGCGGAGTTTATAGATCTTTTGGGTTCATTAAGGGTTTAAAGGCCCTATTTGGCCTTGTGTAGCTTTTGAGGGATGCATTCCCCTTTTGAACGCTCTTTATATAATCTTTACTTACCAGGGAGACAAAAAAAAAAAAAAAGGGGGGGGGAAAGGAAACAGTGAACTGGGTGAATTTGGATAAGTACGATAAAAAAATTAGTAATCTGAGAAACCCTATGACACAGCTCAAAGAATCATATTTGTTTACCTAACTGAAAATTGAATCAAATGAAAAAATTCCGTAGAATTTTTTTTTTTTTTTTAAATAACAAGATTTCTGTTGTGTTCTTTTTTTTTTTTTTTTTGATAAGTGATTTCTGTTCTGTTCTTTAACAGATATTACGAGAGGGGGTTTGATTTTCTTTCTGGACTTTTAATGGAGAGACAGAGGAAGAGAGAGAGAGAAATAAAAAAAATAGAAGCCCAGATTTCATTGTTGTGGATTCGTGAAGGACACTACAGTATGAATGATTATCTAGTTCTGTTTGGATAATGAAAATTTAATGGCTGAGATACAGTTGATGTGGAAAATCTACGGCCAAGAATTATGTATAATGATGTAGGGGAACCCATGTTCACCAGCCTACCGAGCTAAGCTCTCAGCTTCTTCAGCTTGGGTCATCAAGGTAGCGGGCTTAAAACTAGAGCTATTGTTCAGTTCATTTACTTCGGGAACAAACTTGAACAAGCTCAAAAGGAAGCCAA